AATCGTTGAATGCCAATTTGTTGATATAATGTTGATTACATTACCCAAATTTGAAATCGATCGGACAAAATTTATAACACAAACTATTCATTTGAAAAAGTGAATAAATATTAAAACCCCAATAATAAAATTAAATGCGATATATCGAAAATATCGATACTTGTGTTGATATATCGTAATACATGTCGAATACAAATACATCGAAAAACATCGTTTGAGAGTTATTGATTATAATACTGTATTCGATTGTTCACTGTACACATATGTACATACATACATACAAATGTATTTGTGTGTGTACGGTAACTGTAAACTTTTGGCATTTTTCGTATGCAATTAACAGCCGTAAATTATCAAAACGAAAGAAGTTTTGCGAGCCAATAACTTGTTGTTGTTGTTTTAAAAATTTTGATTTGAAAACATAGAACACTATTTATTACAATTAAACAACAGTGTTCGATGGCCCACTGCATACATACAAACCTATATATGTATATAAGAATGTATGTACGTACATACATACTTATTGATGTACATATGTACATACTATACATACAGACGTATGTATATATGTATGTACGTATGTAATACATATGGTGCTGGTGTAATTCATAATGCGAAATTCTTTCTAAGGGGAGCAATGTCCCCCCTGCCCAACCTGCGTACGCCCTTGTAGTCCGTTGTCCTAAAATCCCTTATGCCAAATGTACTAAACAAAGAAAAAATAACATAAAAATGTTTATGTTATAATGTTAATAATTTTTAATTAATTAACATTTCTTGCCCTGTCAGTGCAAGACGAATGTACTTTTATACATATGTATGTATGTATATATGTACATACATTTGTACAAATGAACATTCACACATTAATGTGAGCTTTGGCTACTTCAACCGTTTGCACGCAACTACACGAACAGCTGCTTGTATATATGTATGTGTGTGTGTATGTATACTTAGTTGTCCCCAACTGTCTGATATTTTGTATTGTTTGTTCTGCCTGCATTTGTAAAATGCATATTTTAAAAATCGTTAAATGCAAAGTTGTAATTTTAGTTACGTAGATTATATTACCCAAATTTGAAATCGATCGGACAAAATTTATAACACAAACTTTTCATTTGAAAAAATGAATAAATATTAAAACCCCAATAATTCAAGCTCCAACACAAATTTCGAAAAACCGAGCATGCAGTTTTGTTTGTATTCTTTTATAGATTATAAAAACCAAATTTAAAGTTGATCGATTCAGAAATGCAGAATTTTCAAACAAACTTTGGAGCTACTTTTCCCCCCTTTGGAGCTCGAATTTTCGAAAATCCCTTCTTAGTGCGCATCTACACCATGATAGGATACTTGAGCCCAAATTTCAGTTTCCTAGCTTTTACCGTTTGGGCTGTGGGGTGTTGATTGTGTTTCAATTTTTCCACGGAAAACCCCCCTTTTTTCATGCCCCAGGAAAAATGGTGAAAAACCAAGTATACAGTTTTTCTTGTATTCTTTTTGAGAGTATACAAACTAAGTTTGAAGTTAATTGGATGAAAATTGTAGATTTTTCATACAAACGTTGGAGCCCGTTTTCCCCCCTTTGGCGTTCGAATTTTCCAAAACCGCTTCTTAGTGCTCACCTACACCACTGAAGACAACATGTGTCCAATTTTCAGCCTCCTAGCTCTTACCGTTTAGGCTGTGCGTTGATTGCACATAGCTTTTCGTTTACCGAATTTTCCACCGGAAAATCATTATTATTCAGGCCGCAGGAAAAATATTGAAAATCCAAGTATACAGTTTTTTTTGTATTCTTTGTGAGAGTATACAAACTAAGTTTGAAGTTAATCGGATGAAAATTGTAGATTTTTCATACAAACGTTGGAGCCCGTTTCCCCCCCTTTGGCGTTCGAATTTTCCGAAACCCCTTCTTAGTGCTCACTTTCACTATAAGAGGGATCTTGTGTCCAAATTTCAGCTTCCTAGCTCTTACCGTTTGGGCTGTGCGTTGATTGCCAATCAGTCAGTCAGTCAGTCAGTCAGTCAGTCAATCAGTCAGTCAGTCAGTCAGTCAGTCAGTCAGTCAGGACAAACTGTTTTATATATATAGAGATATGTATAATGTGTGCAATTTTTAATGTTATTAAAATCATACGATTTTAATTCAGGTCCCCTATAAAGATGCAGAATCCGACTCAACACCCACTATCGAAAAAAAGTACAGGCGGTGAAAAAGCCATTTCATATTTGAGTTCGAGTCGATCTTTGCCTACTTCTGCTGTTCTTACTCTGACTATTCTGATTTTGCCTACGCCTCTATCTTTGCCTCCGTCTTCTCTGGGCAGTTCTTCTAAGTCTTTGATGTATCCGGAGATTTAATTTTTAAAGATATATCTGAGATAGGGGTTTGCAAATCTGTAGTGGAACCACCGTGTGGGGCGGGGCGAGAACCTCCAGAAGAGGGGTCTGGGGTAGCATTGCTGGATCAGGTGCTGGTGTGGCTCCAGCAGGATCACCAGGATCTGTTGCATCAGCAGGCTGCTGTTTGAGCAACAGTGCTTAAAAAACTGGCATTGAAACAAGTAGCCAAAATGGCAAAGACCTATTTCTGTCTAATTGGCTTCATTTTTTGATGTGGTCTCAGATCGACGCAGTACACAATCCAGACTGAAGAAACGTCGGTAAAAATTAGCTTTTTATAGAAATTGAAGATATTTACCAAAATCTAAAAATAGCTTCGGTTGTATTTATATTGCTTAAAGTATATTGTGAAATTGAAATTTACACAGCTGGTCCTCAGGCTTTTTAGGAACTTTTATGTCGTTTGAATAGTTAATAATTACACTGTACTACAGCTCATAAAGCTTTGCCATAAAATGTGGCTTTTGGCGGCTGAAATTGTTTGTTTTAAAGGGGAAAGACTATAGGCTTTATAAAATATTTGGGATCTAAGCAACAGAAAATAACAAGTAAAACAATTTTGTTGAAAGTCACTTATTTGTGTACTATAGTATATAAATAATTGAATATACATTTGTTAATAAAATATCTAATTTTTTATTCTCTAAACTATGTAAATTTGTGTATTTTCGGTTTGTTTTAATGGAAAAACTTTAACTTCTATTAACTTTGGACGTCACAAGTCTAGCCAGCGTTGTTGAAACAGTTGCTGGGCCTTAAGTGCTTCCAGAATAGCTGTCTGATCGTTTTGACAAAAAAGGTAAACATTGGTGTTTGATAAATAAAAATACTAATTTGTACTCTATCTCCATTTTGCTTAACTCAAGTTCTTGCTTCAAATATGTATTTGCTTAAAATTATAAATAGTAGTAGGCAGATAGAATGTGACAAATGGAATGAAACGTATTTTGAAATAGCAAACGAAACACGACCGCCTTGTATATTTAACTCCTGAATACTGCGTAGAAGAACCCTAAAAGAATCCTAAAGCATTCAAATAATAATTCCCTTTTCTATATGCATTCCAAATCACAAAGTTTAGTGTTGGCTTTTTAAAAATGTCTCTTGAACAAGTAGCCCAGTCAAATTAGGGTTTCACCTTTGAATTTGAGATAATAAGCTGAAAATTAGTATACAACTTTGTTTTAGCGTCTCAAAAGTCTCATATTATATCGTGTCCGTGCCTTAAGATATTAAAGGTCAAAGTGCACGAATATCGGTTGTTCTCGCATATCTCGCTCCCTACGCCTCTGTTAAGATTTGCACCTATTACAAAGTTGTAGAGTACAAAATCTCAGTTTTCAGTCAACTACGCTGTAAATAACAATACACAATAAGAAAATATTCAGTTTTATCAGGATTCGTTATCACAAACAACGAAGTATAACTTAAGATTATAATTCGCTTCTCGGAGTTTCGAACGAACGAGGGCAAGCTCATAAAAACTATGTGACTATACGCTTCTTGTTATACCCTGTACCCGTAGGGTAAAAAGGGTATATTAGGTTTGTGCAAAGTATGTAACATGCAGAAGGAAGCATCTCCGACCCCATGAAGTACATATATTCTGAATCAGCATGACGAGAGAAATCGATCTAGACATGTCCGTCCGTCTGTCCGTCCGTCCGTCTGTCCGTCCGTCCGTCTGTCCGTCTCGATAAACGCAAGGATCTCAGAAACTATACAAGTAAAAGCTAGAATAACCAAAGTTGGCATCCAGATCCTAAGTCCGAGAAAGGACGAGTTTTTTTATTTTCCCCCCTTCCCCCGCTACAGAATTTCGTCAATAGCGTCCACATTTCAAATGCTACCTTAACCAAACTTGCACACATAATTTATATATAATTATCTACTGTTGTTTAAAATGTTATCCAATTCGGTCAATTCTAAGAAAAGTTATTAGCAAAACAAATTCTCGCTAGTACAACCCCACCAAACTGCAGCAACAAGTTCGCTCTTCTTCTTACTCTTTTTGCTGCTGCTTTGGGCGCATATACCTCAGTGACGGAAGTTTACCTGGGTACAGGGTATTACACTGTCGGGCTTGCTCGACTGTAGCGTTCTCTCTTGTTATATTTCTAAAGTGTAGGATACAACAAATTTGTTTATTTGTCATTACAATAATACTAATTATAATGACTATACTTCTGTTTGGGATAAACTCGTATAAGTCTCTGTATGCTTAAAATCTCCATTATCTACCTAATGAAAAGATTCCGATATTTTTTAGTCCTGCACCTGGTTTAGTCTGCTAGTTAGTCCAGTATGGCTCTAGAGTATAAATATAGATAAAGAATAGTCAACATACTTATCACTCGCATGCATTACAGAAACATATGTACTCGTATGTGACAAATTTAGTTAGCGGAAAATTTCGGAACAGCTGCGCAAATCTTTCATTACCCCCAGACGATAGCAAACAATATTTGCCATAGTTATTATAGAAATGGCCAATAAAAATATGCAAAAAAAATGCTATATAAGAACGGCGTTTGGTCACAATTCATCAGACAGCAACCAACCGTCTAACACAGTTTGGCTTAGAAGTTTCTTAAAATGAGAGCATTGTCGACGATTTTAGCTATTTTGGCAGTATGCTGTCTTACCAGCTTTGTGCGCTGTACGGGTCCCAGCACAACTGCTGCTGATCCCAGCACAACTGCGGCTGATCCCAGCACAACTGCGGCTGATCCCACCACAACTACTGCTGCTGCTACAACTACTGCTGCTGCTACAACTACTGCCTCTGATTCTGCCACTACATCCGGATCAGCTACTACCACTGCCCCAACCAGCTCATCTTCAGGTGGTACTAGCTCTAGTAGTGCCCAAAAACGACTTCGTCGCCGCAACAGGCGTTTGCGTAGACAGCTTCGCCGTTTGAGGAGGCGTCTTCGCGTAAATAGGAATAGGAACACCCGCCGTAGGAACCGTGTTTTCAATAGGAACACCCGTCGTAGGAACCGTGTTTTCAATAGGAACACCAGGAGGCTAGAAACTCTAGTTCGTGCCGGTTAAATGAACAAGGACCCACAACCCGGAGAGCATCGACATAACGACTTACTTATGTATATAAATATATATATGTGTATATGTATATGTATTAATAACCAATAAAAATATCTATCATCAGCAAACTATTAAAAGTGCTTGCAAAAATATTCAAAAGCATTTACCGCCTTAATTAGTTCAGAGACTGACTTGTCAGCTTTTCTGCTGACTTTTCAGTTTAACAAAAAATCGAAAATAAAGACCTCTAAGTAATAAGTTTCGGAGGGGATTCGTTGTCATCAAATAACGAAGCACGAAGTTCATAAAAGTATAGTATTTACCATACACTACTTGTTTTTATCTTTTGCGAGTGTAAGATAAAACAAGAGAGAACGCTACTGTCAAGCAAGCCGGACATTGACATACCCTGTACCCAGACAAACTACCGTCACTGCGTTATATGCGTAGAAGTAGAAGCAAAAATAAGATGAAGAAGAGCGAACTTGATGCGGAGGGAAAAGATAAACTCGTGTAGCTTAGGGATCAGGAGCGTCTGTATACCTAGTTTGGTTAATGTGCGATCAACCTTTTCCGAAATCCAGGCATTCATCCAGACGGACGGACGGACAGACGGGCGGACATGACTAGATCGATTTCTCTCGTCATGCTGATCAAGAATATATATACTTTATGGGGTCGAAGGTGGCTTCTTCTGCCTGTTACATGCCTTGCACAAACCTAATATACCCTTTTTATATAATAAATCAGTTTTAACTGATTGACTTCATTTGTTGAAGTAACCTGAAACCTGCACATTTATTCGTAAATTAAGAATTTCCTTTTGCATTGTTTGTAAAATATATTTAGTTTCGCTTCAACTAAGTTTTAGCTGCTCGGCAAAATATAAGAGCTGCCACTAACAGTCTAGAATGTGTATAGGCAAGAATTGATTTTATGTAAATACAATATTTGCCAATTTCATATACACAGCCAAAAAGGTGGTAGTGCAAAAAGCATAAATGCATCTATATGTATAGTATATGCACATATATTTGTTGAAATATAGTTAAAATGCTATAGCAGTGAAATATTTGGCTTCACTAGAATCGCATTGTTTATGTGTAACGGTCTGCATTTCTCTATTGTTTTTATTAAAAATGCATTGCTTCGACCGTACGATGCGCAGCCAAGCTTGATGCACAGGTCTGCCCAATGCGGCACAATGACCGCATTTTAAAATGCTGTTGCATGGTTGTTGTCGCTGCAGCCTCGCGGGGCATTCGAATTCGAGATGAATTTGCATAAATTTTGACGCAGCGATGATGGCGTTGCCGGCAATCGACAATGGTGAACCTTTTTGGTGTTTTGCATTTTTGGCTCTGTCATAAAAATGAAAGCTTTTCAGCATTTCTCCCTGTACGTCTGTCAGTCAACGAGGTTATGGGTCTGTGCCTGTGCCTGTCCCTATGCCTCTGTCTGGCAATTAGAGTTTGCCTTCAATACACACACACACACTTACACATACAATGTTGCCGATTCATGCTTAAAGGCGTTAGCACGCCCACACCGCCCAGCAGCAAATTTTTAGCAATCGACCATGTTCACTTTTAGAAATGTAAAACTTACCATTTTCAGATTGTTGTTGGTGTTGTATTTTTGGAGCTTATTCTATGACGCGCGCTCTCGTTATGTTCATTATTCAAAGGGCAATCAATCATTTTAACAAATTGACGTGAACAATGACGTTGGCTTTTTATACATATTTAAATTTTTTCCGGCCACATTTTAAATATGTTTGGGTTGGCCAAAAACAAAGCGGAAGTGAATTTCCAATGGCTGCGCTTCAATGGCAGCAGCTGATTTTGGCAGTTTCGTTCTTTCTTCTGCTGCCTTTTCGCCACAACATTTTTTATGCTTCCTTGTTGAGTCTAATTTGCTAATTGGAGGCGTCATCGGCAGCAGCGGCATCGTCATCATTATCATCGTCATCGTCATTCCGTCATTCACTTTGGGACGGCATCAGTTAGTCATGCAAAAACTTGGCACTGACGGTGGTTGTGAAGTGGGAGTTGGTGACGGCATCGGTTTTTAATGTGCTCGCCGTTTTTCAATGAAATTCGGAGAAGAGTCATAAGCCCAGTACCCGTAAAGGCTTAACGTGTTGGCAGTGTACCATAGTTCAGCGGAAAATGCAGTCATTTGTTATATGTTAATTGATCATGAATATTTGCCATTTGTGTCTGCAAAAGTAAATTACAAAGCGCATAAATTAAACATATAAAGTCGCATAAAAAACATCATGCACATATACTATATAACAAAATACCCAGCGGCTCTCTGAACTAGTACATAAAAATATATGCTATTACTCCGAGTTTTTATACATTTTTCAAATATCCCTGTGTCTTTCAAATCTAAATGAAATGCATTGACCGAATTTATTATGGGTTGTGTTGCTTATTTTATGTGTCATAGAATTTCAGATTGAAATTGATTCAGAATTCAGATTGAAGTTGTAATAATTGCAGGAATTGTAATAAAACGAGTTTCTTAAGCGTGACCTTCCTCGAATCTAGATGACAAATTTGGAGATTGTATCCTTTATGCTTTTCCATAAATGTGCAAAAATTCAAACCCAATGCTTATGGGGGTACAGTGGTGGGTGCAAAAATCAACTCTTCAGGTGCAGGTTCCACAAATATCTAAAATATAGTACTGAAATACTAAGTATAGAAAGTCATAGAAACTATAAATTCATGTGATAAGCAAAACAAGCAAACAAATAAAAAATACTCCAAAAGGTCGTTCTATAGAAAGCAAAAAGCACTACAAATATAAGCTAAAATGTGATCAACAACCATTGCAGGGAATATGTTGGGATAACTAGTTCAAAAGGGAAGGGACCAATGGCACTTAATGTGCTGTAGGGTATGTGGGCAAGATGTGGTCGCGTTTAATTAAATTTTCAACATGTGCCAGGGCATACATATTTTACTGTTTTTCCATAAACATAAACATGCAATTTGAGAGTGTAGTCATAAAAAATACCTAATTTAATAAGTTTAATTTAATTTATTATGCGAGATTACAAATCTATTTTGCTTTTTTTCATTGCAGGGCCTTTCTGCGTGATGTGGTCGAAACGGCGAATCTGTTCATGAAAATGATGGAGCGCTTCTGCAAGGATGCGGTTGTGGTGCAGGGCAAGCGTCGCGTCCTCAAGCGAAAGAACCAGCCGGCTAAAGCGAAGAAGGCTACTGCAAAGGCTGCGACGCAGCCCACAGAGGTAGGTTAAAATACTTGCATGAAACTAAATGCTGTTGCTATTTATTGTCGTATTAAATAACTTTATTTGCACACACCCACTGCGCTTGCCATAAAATATATCCCAAATTGGCAATAAAATTTAAAACAAATAGCTAACAATTGAAAGAAAAAACAGCAGCACACAATGGTCAAAAAACAATTGCAGTCTATGCACCCCACGAGATTTATGTGTTTGATCGTGAAAATTAATTGTCCGAAAATATGTTTAAAAAAATAACAAAAAACAAAAGCTCATACGATAGCGATGGCCATGGCGCCATCGCTGCTGGTGGTTGCATTTTATTTGTCTTCTTATTTATTCATTTTCTATACCGCCCACTTGCCTTGGTCACACAGCTGTCTATGTCTGTTTTTCCCCTTTTTCCCCTTCTTTGTGTCTCCTCTCATATCCGTTGTTTAAATCGCCTGATTTTTACTGCGCACATTTTTATGAACTTTTGAAAGAGGTTGTGGTACTTTTAACGACGAACTTATCAATGTACAGCAAATCGAATACACTTCACTGGTATCGTGTGCACATGCTATATGTTCTCTGAATAAGGAGGGAATTTAGTATTCGTAGAACATGTTGCTAAGTTATAGAATATAATCACATAAATACGAGTATAGGAATCGTTGATATTCTGCTAAATAGTTCAGATGAGGGATCTTCCAGATCTCTCTAGTGCCTATCAAGCAAAAGATGCATCAGTACAGGAGGACTATTTAAGGCCATGGTCGGTGGCTCGTCGGTCTATATCTATATATATTCTTAAATTCTTCTTCTTCTCGACTGCTGCAGATTATCTCTGTTACTTTAATGTGAACATGAAGCGATAAAACCAAGGATTCCTCACCTTACCTCACCTAACAATCCAAGCATACTGACCAGTCACTCATCAAATGCAATTTGAAACTTCTATTTGGAGCTCACTGTGCCGAGCCATCAACATGATGTCAAGCAGTGTATTTAATTGTCGGTGTATTTAGTCTCTGTTGAATTTGGTTCTTTTTTTTGCTCTCAGTTCAGTTTTTGTTTATTTCCGTACGCCGTGAAGCATGATTTCCGGGCAACACTTGTGTCTCTCATGCACTTGTACTCGTATGTCCGCCCTTTTGTCGCCGTACTTTATAATATATATTTATATTTTTTTTCTTCTTTAGCATGCAAAACCTTCAATTGTGTTAATTTTTGACATATTTGCTTGCCTCCGTTTTTCATTTTCTCTCGTGCATTTGCGTTGTGGGCTTTTCGCTTGAATTTTAAAACAATTAATTTATAAATATTTGGTATTTGCCTGAACGCCAAAAACATGACATACAAGTACAAGTACACACATACACGTACTCAAAATACATGTGTGTTCAAATATTTGCCAGCATTTTTGTCGATGTTTCTTTGTGATAAATGCAATTTAAACGCTTGTAAAAATCCATACAATGCCACATTATGTTAAACAAATAAATGCCCCGTAGGCGTGCCATTGACTTTCACAATGTACACATGTCCGTGGCATAAGCTGCTGTGCTGCTACCCTGTGGGCAGCGGAAATATGCCAATGTCCTTGCATTTAGAGCGATTTCGTACAATTGAGGAAAAAACAACAATCGATGTGCAAATACGAGTATGTGTGTCTGCATTGTTAACGAGGCAGAAAATAGCGAGAAAAATATAAAATACAAAATATGAACATTTAATATCATCCATGCATTTTTTGTGGTTAAATGTAAATGCAGGCTTTTTATTTATGCAATTTAACTAATATGTACAAAGTACTTGTATTCATTTGCATTTTATCGTAAAATATGTATTGTCAACGCCAAATGTTGCCTTCAATGCTTTAGTTGAACAAAACAAAAAAAAAAAACGACAGATTTTTTAGTTGTGAGGATAAAAATGCGTTCAATTAAGGTAATTGACACATTTTTTACTATTATTTATGGATAATTCTTCAAGAACGTAATAATTAAAATAATTATTTTACACTGTAAGCTAATACGGCATAATAATTATATAAGTTTCAAAAAACGTGTTCAATATTTTCGTTTCACTTTAAACCCAAGCTCCACTCTTGTAATTCAGAAAATGTTGTCCGTGTATCCACTTACTTCTATGTCTTTGTGTATCAATTTGTTAAAAAAAAAAAAAGATTTTTAAACACGTTGCGGGAATTTTCGCTGCCATTCATTAAGCTATTATATTTCCCCGGAAATTGTTATATAGGTTTTTCAGCTTTAGAGTGACGATTGCCTGCTGGAGTACGATTTTCAAGTAGTGTCCACAACTATATCTGTAAATGCTGAAATTGTCTTATATTTTAACATATACTTCATACATATAACCGCGCCTTTTTCAATAGAAACTACGAATCTTAATCCCTGCATCATGTCTCCAATCCACCTACAATTAATAAACTAGAGTTAGAAAGTTTCCACAACCTAACAACGCACAATCCATGGTAGTAAATGAATCAATATTTTTGAAGTAATTCTGCAATATTACCATTAGCTTGATTTTTGTTATTGACTTTTATTTTATGCTTGCAGGAAGAACTATCTAACAAATGGGCTGAGATGGCTGCGGGCGTGAGCACCCTTCTGTGCAATGAATTGGAAATGCCCGAGGGGGACGAACTACCCATACCATTCGATGCAGCTGCAGAAAAGTCCATTGATGATCAGCGGTAAGTAAGAAGGAGGGGGCGATGGGCTCGATTCTAGCCCTTATACGAGCATGTTTTGCCTTTGCCACCATGGTAGCTAAGCTCACATCCTTGTCTCGTTTAGTAGCGATGCAGCTAGCCAATTTATGTTGCAGGATAATAATGTTAATGTGCTTATTACATTGCTTCTATTTTGTTCTTGTACTTATTATTTTGCATTTCTCTACTTACAGGGAGGACTGCATGATCCGCATAAATAAATTGTTGCGCATCGAGAAACTAGAGCAGGCCATTGCTCTATTGCGCGCTGCCAGGTGAGTCCTTTGACGTTGTCCTTAGCTTAAAAATGTGCAACAACTTCATTTTGAGCGCAAATCCTATTGGAAATCCTTTTTTAATAACTTGACATTAACTGTTGCTGCTGCCGTCGTCGTCCTCTTCATCGTCCTTGCCGGCGCACACAAGGCGCAGCCCAAAAAAGGGCAGAAAGGCAATTCGCATAATAGATTAACTCTCGTGAAAAGGGCGAAGTGCGCGAAAAGCGGAGATGAAGAAGCTGGCAAAGAATGCCTTTGTACAAGTTGCTTCGAGTTTTTGCAAGAATCTCAATTTGTACTCTGTACCCAAAGGGTTAAAGGGTATGATGAAATGGTAAAGGTGTATGTAACGTTCAAGAAAATTGGGTCTTATCCCACAATGCACACATATGTTTGATCGGCATCTGCTATTGGACAATCTTCCTTCTGAAAACTTGAGACAGTCAGTATTTTTCCCAAGTAGTCATCGCACTCGTCTATATGTCTTATTTGTTTCATTTTATTTAACAGTTAATGATAAACATAAACAAAGCAATTACTAAGTATTTTATAATGCTTTCTTTTTTAATAAATGTGATTATTTTAAGCATTCACATTTAACTGCTTTGGATATAAAGCATTTACCAGTCGTGTTAAGCTTTAAGATTTTTTCGTTTTCATTTTCTGTTTATTTCTCATATTTTGAGCGTTGCCGTGCACTCCATGGGGTCCGTGCGACCGTTGTCTGCTCTTAAATTAAATAGTTTTTATTTATTGTAAGCGCTGTGCGCTTCGTCAACGCCCGCACCTGTATGGAGTCCTTTTCCTGTCTCTGTCATTGTGCAGTAACTACAGATAGGGGTAGCGCATGGAATTCCCTGGTGTGGCCCTCATAGTCAGCGTCATCAGTATTCTCATCATCCTCATCATTGGCTGTTGCTCTTCTGTTTTTGACTGTTGTTTTACGCCAATAGAGTGAACCTTAAAAGTGTACCTTAAAGTACATTTAAGCCGACAAGATGACCAGGAACTTATAAAAAATTCATACTCGTACTAAGTACATATATAAGGAGCAGTTTTTGCCTTCCTCATATTCTTTACGTACTCCTTCTGTACTATTAGCCTTGTCCTTTTGAACTTTATTGTTATTTTTTATTTGTATACTGTTCATTTAATTGTGTGTTCTCAAAGAGCCAGTCTATTTTCAGTGCGTAACAATTCCATTGAATACTATTGAGCAAGCGAGCAGGAAGGTCGCTAGAGAAACAGTCGTTCAATTTGCTGCATTTTTGCCTTTCAGTGTGATTGCCGTTCAATTATGTAAAGCCTATTGAAGGCAGACAAGAAATTGTTGTTGTTTATTGTTTGCGTCGAGGAAAATTGCGTGAAAATAATTTATCTTCTGCGTGTCAACATTTAAACAAGGCAAACGAATGTAAATCGTCGTTGAAAAACCAACGACCTGCATGCCCTACACCCCCCAGCCCCCCACTTACAAGCATGACAGCTGTCGTTACCAAAGTTGGCAATCGAAAACGTAGCGTAAATATTTCCAAGTCATTTAATTACAGCGTCATTAAAATTTTTCACCTGCTGCATGAGTTCACGGCTTCACTTGGCCTCAAATTGGCTTGGGCTAGGTAGGGTTCATGCTGCTTTCACGCAGCCACACCAGCACCAACACACACTCAATAGGCTTTGGCTTGCGGGTGACAGCATTGATGACATCGCTGTCGCTCTCGTCGTTGCCATCGTCATCGTCATCGCCATGACCATTATTATTGTCATGAGCATCGCCACCTGCTGTCTTTTCCTCTGCGCGGTGGGTGTCATGTCATATTTCATTAAAAAGTGTTGCCCACTTTTGGGCGCCCCTCTTTATTTAGTGCCATCTTATATACCTTATATACATACAAGTATATGCTTATAAGTAGTACACACACCTACTCACATTGCTTTTGAATGGAGCAGCACTTAAACTTCGTGCCTCATTCATTGTCGCATGGAATTTATTTACATTTTAATTGTTGTCGAATCAAAATGTTGCATTAAAATGTATGAGTGGAGCGTTTGCTTAATATGCAGCAGCTTAAAAAGGTCTAGACGCTTTTTGCTAATAAATTAAAATGCTATATGCATATAGCAGGCACGACTGGGAAAGATGGAGCCGATGGAGTAGCTGCGGCTGTATCTGCCTTTTGTCTGGCACTTTTTGTGTGGCACTGGCGCTGGCGCTGGCGCTGTTGCTCTCCCATGCCACACAGTCTGCAAACAAAAAAGTGGAGAGAAAATATGTTTTGGGTAAATAAAATATGTACTGCACATAAACTGGCTGTACGTGTTGCGCGACATTCTGGCAGAGGAACAACTATGAATACATATGTGTCTGTTGAAGCTATTAAGCCCTGTAAATAACTGTCTGTCTGTCTGTCTGTCTGGCTGGCTTGCTTAGACTTCATGAGAATGAATAGTTGCATCTCAACATTTTTTAAATACTTGCCAACTCTCACTCACTATGTATTACGACATTTCATTTTATTAAGCAAATGCAATGTCGTATGATCTCTTCGTGATTCGTTTCGTTTCTACCCCACCAGTTCTGTTGCATACGAATTTTAGTCATCATCCACGACGTCGTGCTGTCTGTTTTAATGGCAGCACACAAATGTCAGCTAGAAAACTTTTAAGTGAAGTAAATGCGCAAAATGTTTATTCAAACTTCACTTTAGCAGCAACTTTTAGTCGGTTACTCCTTCAGCTCTCACCCTTTCCACAGTCACACAGTTAACTAAGCTTATTTGAAAGACTGCAACTGCTGCGCGTATTTAGCATAGCGACTGGCTGCGTACTTTTTATTCGTGCTTCTTTCGTGTTGCTTCTGTTGATGGCAACTGTGAACACTTTTTATTTAAAGCTTTTAAGCTGTCGTGTTGCGTTCACCCAATTTAGTGAACGTTTATTTTTGACCAATACAAAACTAAAAAGGCGGAAAAAACACCCAGAATTATCATATAAAAAGCAAGCAATAATTTTGCATACCAACATCATTTTTATTAAGTCCAGCGGTAAGCGTATTTTTCTATATCTGGGGAATTTTTCCTGCAAACTTCCAAATAATAACAAGTTAGCAACAATACAGAATTGACAATGATAAGAAAGTTATATATAGGTAAGGCTTAACTAAATGCTTAAATTAGGTTAAAATCTTAAATAGCAGCTCAATTGCATGGTAAATAAAATGTGTAATTATCGAGTTTAAGATCTTGCAAAGTTTTTGTTTCCTTTATTAAATATCAAACATCTTGTACAGGAATTTTATTTGCTTCTTAGTTTTGAAAATACTGCGCATACTGAACCTTCGCTTGGCCTTAAATTAAAAGTGCCTATTTATTCTTTTGGATTATGGTTAAGATCCTTGAGGTTTTCCTTCCCATCCATTGCATGTACCCTGGGGGTGAGTTTATCTTCACATCACTCATCCCTCCCAACACTAATCAATCGATTATGTATTCGACCTAAATATTGTGTGCTTTATTGCCCACAAAAACCGCTAATTATCAGCGTACATGGGAGTAGTTGGTGCGTCATTACTTCTGCTGCATGTAATGAACACACACCAGAAATGCAACCAAAAATTGGTATTAACAACAGGGGAAACAATAACAACAACAACAAAAAGAGCAACTAACGAGCAACGCAAACGGCCCGCAGGATTACAAAATGCAGCGAAACTAACGAACGAACGAACCAACCAACCAACCAACTAGAGACAACAACTCTAACAGCAGCAACACCAATATTTGGCGTGGAAAAATGGCACACAAATTTTAAATTTGGTCTGCAAATAAAAGTTTGTATGTGTATATAGTATGCATGTGTAGCTGTAGAGGTGTCTGTCTGTGTCTGTGTATGTGAATTGTCGGCGGAGTATGAGGAGGTGTATGCAATTGCTTCTACAGCCCGGAACGTCACTCAATTTATTGGTTCCATAAGTCGCGCTATCGCCTACAAACACAACCGTAAATGGGCATAAATATGACGCTTAAAGTGGAGGGCAACAACAACAACAACAGCAACAGCAACGCTAATACCAACACCAGGAATGCGTTAGAGACCCACAGGCCCATGACTAGGTCGATGCTTGTAAAGCGTTCGTGTTGCATGTGACGCATGGGCGCCTGTGCGCAACTGATATGCCACAGTGGAGGCACCAGCGACGCAGCCCAGTGGAGTAGAGAAGAAGCTGAGGCAGCGGCAGAGGCAGACCCTGAGGTAGCTCGTCGGTAATTATGTGCAAATAAACTACAGTGCAAGCTTTATCGACAGCACACTTAAATCCTCGTTTAGAACTTTAATTAAAATTAAATAACTTTTTCTGCAAATCTCATTTTGTGATGACTATCGGTATTTATTGTCTTGAAGGCGCTTTACATTAATCAGAACATTGGATTTCCTTCTCAGCTGAAGGAAGTGCACATAAAAAAATTATTATAGTACTGAGCTGAATCTTATACTATGTATGATCGTTAGATGTATACTTTTAAGGACACGCTCTTTCAATCGGACTCGCGGTACCAAGTATGTACAATATGCTTTTCAGACCTTCTCCCGTCTGTATGAGAACTAAACATCCTTTTAACATAGTACGTGTGTATGCTGGGTTTCATTTAAAGCAGTTTTCGCTGTACTTATCGCATAGATGTGCGTTACGTGTTGCATATAAAGCTGCTTTCAAATATTAAATTAACAGCTATGGCAGGAAATGGTGGGAGGTCTTCCCAACCCCAACCCAACACACGTACATACAAGTACATTGCATGCTGCAGAGGTTTAAGGAGAAATAGGAACAAATAATAACAAAAAACTCCATTATAGCCTGGCACACAAACATGAAACGGTGCCAAAGCCTGCAATGAAACGTTGGTGTGGGTCTCTGCATGCTTGTGTGTATGTGTGTGTGTGTGTGTGTGATTGTGTGAGTGACTGTGTGTGTGTCAATGAGAATCACGAGAAATTTTAACGCAATTTTAAACGCATCAATTTCATTTTTTTTTTTTGAAAGCTAAAAGCTTTGCTTGTTGCATCCGCGTATCGTGCAGATATTGTGCAGCATGACGTGGCGAATTTGTTGTTGTTGTAGCTGCTATTCGCTGTTTTGTTGCTGGCGGTGGCATTGGCATCGACGATGACGATGACGCGGCTATTGCTGCATGGACCACCACACCTTGGTCAATTGCTGCTGCTGGCATTATTGTTGTCGTTGTAGCTTCTCTATATGTAGGTGCATATATGGGATTTCTGGTCTATGAACAATGTCGTTTATCGAGGCCGCCATTGCATACCTGTTCGCACCAGTAGAAGCCAAGCAGGCAGAGCCACAGACACAGCGGAATACTAGGAACACCAACAAAATTTTTCAGGAATATGAGAAATTTAAAGGACGACTTCTTTAAGATTAAAGAGACTGTTTATATCAGTAAGGTAGTAAGCATAAGTTAATAAGCAGTGGGATGAAATGCCAATGAATAATTTAATTGAAATATTGTTCATATTTTGAACTTTATCTCATTCTGATGCTGCTTTAGTTGCTATTTTTAATTCCTACAATAACAATTAGACCACAGTTCTTCTGCTAATATTCCTTTTTTTTTACCACTATTTTTACTACCATTTAGAGACAAACGTATTAAATTTATTTGATTTAAAGCGCGTGAGTATCTGCACAACACACGTACAACAAGCCAGCAGCCATGTGTGTTTTATAAAGCGTATTAAAAATATGAACACAATTTGGCAAGCTTATATCGTATTGAAAAGAGCCCACAATCATATTGAACTTTGTAATTGAATTAAATTAACGCCATATTGTTGTTTGCTAGCCTTAAACGTATCTAACTCATGTATTTCTATGGATATATGGATTAGGCCAAAAATTTGAACAATTATAAATAATTGGACCGTGGATGGGCTCCGTTGTAGATATATATTTTTTTTATTATATTTAATTAAATATTAACCCTTTACTTTTATGCATAAATATTAAATTGTTTTTGAACGTCCTTTCTTACCCACCACAACTGTTCCAAAAAAGGAGGCAATTGCGAGCAAGTAAATAATTTAATTACAATAGTAATAATAATGAAGTCATGTTGATAATTCATTTTGCTATTGCCATTATCACTTATTTACCATACTTTTCATGAAGCATCCGTTGCAACAACACCCACCATTACTGAAATTTCGCCGTTCTTTTATCGTCCACAGGGAAGTCTGGCCGGAGAATGATGTGTTCGGTGCAATTTCCGCTGCGCCGGAAGAGGAGCTGTTGCTGTTGCGTGAGATTTTCATGCACAACATTACGACAGGTGAGTGCAGGCGGTCCTGCAGCTAAGCCCCCCATGGCCAACCCCTGCCCATTTTAATTATTGTTTATTGTTACATATTATGCGGCAGTCCTTCCTCCCCATTCCGCCAAACCAACTCCACCACTTTTGCAAAAGTAGCCATAGCCGTAGCCGTAGCAGTGGCAGCGGCAATGTCTGACCATTGTTTTAATTAAAAATGAAAATCTGCCACTTGGCTTTGGCGCATCATTTATCTTATGCTGTCCTGTTCCCTGTTCCCTGTTATCTCCCCGCCCTCCCTTTCTATCTGGACTGTTGCTATCGCCTCGAGGCTGCTGCTGCTGCTGCCTTGGCACTTCCGGTGTGCCAAGCAAATGTTCGCCATTTTGCATTTGGCCGCGGTGCAGGCAACTCTATAAATTTGCCAGCTGAAATAAGCCAAATTATAGCGCAGCATTCGCTGCTCTCTTTTCTTGGTGTGTGTGCGACGTTAGTTAGCGACTTTGTTGCATTCGGTTCGTTGGCATTGTCTAAAGTTTTTGCAGGTTCGAAGTCTCCTCTTTTTTTGTGCAACCACGTCGCTGTCGACGCTAGCTGAGCAAATTATCCAGCAAAAATTCTTGCGCTTCATTAAAAGTAAAAAATGGCAGCAGTTTTCACTGCGCACACGAATGACATGGAAGGAAGGCGAACGAGAACGAGAATGAGAATGGGGATGGCGTTGTGCAAATGGGAATGGGATTGGGATTGAGAATGAGGGCAATGGAAACGTCGACGACTAAGAAGACGACTGTAAATGTAATTTAGTAGTCAAAAGAGTGTGCGGCATGGCTGCCTGCTGCCTGCCTGCTTGACTGGCTGGCTCGTCTGCTCACTTAAATGAAAATGTATTAAATGCGTAATTGTTGTGTTTTTTACGTTGCTGTCTCCCAAGTTCATGCCCCAGCACCCTGCTCGAGCCAATGCTCCATGATGTCCCGTGCCGATTGCCAAGTGCATTGGCTTGTGAAATTTGTTGTTTGTGCGTCTGTCATTCAATTTTAAAGCCATTGAAGCGTTGACATTATTCTGCAGTAAATAAAAACATTCGTGACTCAGGCAGACCCCGCCATTCAATTTCTCTTTCTTGCCTTGCCTTGCCTTGACTTGGCATCGGTTTTGCCCTTGATGCACCATGACTTTACAATTTTGTGGTGCAACTTTGCTGCACCTTGAGATGCATACATAAGGCGAGCACTGAGCAGGCTTGGATTGTTCATATATATTTGCTGTTGGCTTCATTGCTGCTGTTGCTGGTCTATCAAATGATATGACATGCAATGCTCAACTCTCTTCTTGCTGCCAAAGTTTTATCTCTGGCAGCCTTTCCACACATTCAGGCGTGGCAGCTCCTTTTATACTCTATGTAGAAAAAAGTATTAGCTTTGTGCGACTAAATACGTATTTACTGGCTTGAAGTTTGGAAGAATAACATAAGGCAGAATGAGACATACAGTATGTAACAAATTAAATAAAGCATATGGAAATAACCAAACGGAAGTTAAGTTCTTACCCTTACCCCATTGTCATAGGTTAAAAACCTAGCGCCCTACCCTAACTAAAATTCAGTAAAATTCAACAAGAAAATGTTGATTACCAATCGGCGGATATCTCTAAATGGAAGCCCGATTTCTGCTTTTTTCATCGCTCCTTTCAATCCTTCCAAATAATTTGAGTTTATATAATTTTATTCCTTCAGTTTTCAAGATGTAAGGCATGCCATAGTCGTGAAAAACATATTCTATTTTCCGTACTTTGCTTTCCGCGTCAAAAGTTTCTTCAGAAGCCTTTTTAAAGCGCATTCTTCGCTGTCATCGTTTTATATAAAAGAAATATATAAGTTTATATAGACATACAGTACATATCAAGGATAAAGTTTCCAACTTACACGCCATGCAGTTAATCTGGAAATTTATGATTTTGTGCCGTAAAAGTTTGCAAACGTCTATCTGTTTTGTTTTACTGCATAGCTGACATAACTTTAACATCGATTGTTAAATTTCAAAGGCTTTAAATTTTAATAACCTAGCAGTTAGGAAATGAATTGAATGCGAAACCAAATGTAAAAGCTAAAAGGGTGCGTTTTATTGTTTCGTCTAGTGCTGATGCTGCGAGCGTTTTGTCTGTGCCTTGAAGCGCACGAATCGATGTCTGTCTGATGGCCTGCCTTTCCATTGAGATGAAAGAGAATATACTTCATTCAAACGAGCGTTTGAACCCTTTTGGTGGTAGCCAACGTCATCGCTTTTTTGCTGAGCTCCAACTAAGCCCCAGCGACACGGCCAAACAATATGAGAACCGTGCGTCGCGACGTTTCGTTCAGACCCCGTTGTCAGCCACATTCTCCTCGTTATCGCTCCAGGGATTTAGGCGGAGCTTAGTACCGGCGGCGCTAGCAAGATTGATGGTCAGTTGACAGTTTAAAAGTTGCGTAGCAACAATGTGCAAAGCATACTTGTATTACAGCCACACATAGACAATAGCCAGCAGTATTTACAATACAGTACAAAATAGTGTATGTGTTTTTTTTATACTCTACACAGGAACTAGTATCAAAGTTCCATAATGTGTCCACGATTTACTATCAATCGTAATAATTTGTAATCCCACTCCTGATCCACAAATTGCCTGGAACAAGTTAATGCGATAAGACGCCTTTTTGGAACAACCAAACATATATATTATTTTAATTTCTTATTTTATTTTAATATGGATTGTAGTTAGGAATTGGAATCAATCGCTCAAGTTTTTTTTTAAAGAAACATCATTGTTTTTATGATTTGTATTTTTAAAATCTTATGATACTGCTGTCTATATCATAAATACATAATTGGAAACCAGTTGGGGAGAAGTGTGAAATCTTACTAACGGATAATCCAGCCTTATCAAAGGTGAAGGGCCTACAGCAGTCGAGTAAGCCCATTCTATAATATTTTTTCCATACTAAACCTGCTAATCCAAAGCCATTAAAATGGTCAGTCCTTTGATGTTGTCTGGCTACCGACGCAGGAAATGAAGTGGCAGGCCCATTCAGTCAATTTTTTGTTGTCTTTTTTTTTTGTTGCTTAAATATGTATTGAATTTTATTAATTACCGGCAACCACAAACTGCACGTTTCGTTCTGCCTGCTGTCTGTGGTCGCCTCTGCGGTCGGTGCGTGTGGTTGTGGCTTTAATTAACATTTTTTCTCATCATGAGCATTATCATTTGTTCATTTGTTTATTTGTTTATTCGCTTTTTGCAATTTTTCTATTTGTTTGTGCATTGTATAGGAGAAGGTGGCTGGCTGGTGACTCACACAAAAAATATAAAACAATACAAAAACACGAATTGACATTTTAAATAATTTATGGGGTGCTCTTGCTTGCACATGTGTGTGTGTGTTCGAGTATGTATATGCATGGGTGTGAATGGCTTTGTTTTTGTAGCTCTTGTTATGCTTTGTTTCAATTTCAATTTAATTCAATATTATTTCAAGCGAACACACACAAACAAACCTACAAATCCTCACACACACGCTATTTTCCATGCACATTCATTCACTCACACTCACACAGCTACTTTCAGCTTAAAAGAGTGTGTGTGTGTGTGTATTTGTATGTGTGCGTGTGTGTTGTTCTGCGCGCACGCTTAGTTAAATCTTAATCAAGTCGCTTTGCTGATTTCGATTTGTGGTGCGCATAATAAATGATGAGCGACCGCTCTTTACCCCTCAACGGGCGCAGGTCTCGCCGTCCATTCGCATAAAAATGCAGGCTAACTCTTGGCATAAGTAAAAGCCAAAAGCAAATAAACACACAACACAACAACAGAACAGAAACAACACAGACACATACGAATAACACAAAAATCCACTCAAGTGTTAAAATAAAAGTGCAGAGCGGGCTTGCAGACAGAAGAAATACACAGACTTGTACATATTTCAAGCGCGCCAAAGTCCTTAACTGATTTCCCAGCACAAACAAGTTGGTCGTCCTCGTCGTAGTAGTCGTCAGCCTCATTCTTCTCTGCTCATCCACATTGTCCTTTTTGTCTGCTTGGCCGCGTGTCTTGCGTTTGTGCCACATAAAAATACAAAGTTTATGTTATGAACACAAATAAAAACAAAAGCAAATGCCACAAACACAGACACACACACACTCACACCAAAGAAGAACAGAAAGTGTGCGAGTGTGTGCGACTGTCTGTGTTAAAAAGAATAAAATACAATAAAACGAAATAAAATATAAACACAACGGAGTCGGGCCAGACTAGAGCTGGAAACCCCAAGCCCGACCAGAACATTTGCAAGTTGACATGGCGAGGCGGTTGTTGTTGTTATTATTATTGTTGTTGGTGTTCCTTTTGCTATTGCTGTTGAAGTGCCACTGGCAGCAACAAAACGAGTAGAGCTAACAACGCACCAAAGCTACTTCCGTCCCACACACATGCACTCCCACACACACACACACACACACACACACGCTCCGACTCAAAGACACTCTTGCATGGGACCGGCGACGACACCTACTCAATTAGGTGACATGACTTGCCATGGCGCTGGCAGTGATTTGGCTGGTCTTTCATTTCATTTGCCTTTTCGTTTCGCTCCTTTATTTTATACGTACTAGTCTACTATTTTGTTGTGTCCGGGTCTGCAGTTTACCGAGCGAATTGATTAAGTTGATAGCGTGCATAAATATTTACTTGTTGTTTATTCAAAGTCTCTCTAATGGCAAATAAAATTATGTACCATTATGTACATCGGTTGGGGATTCTCCTTTAAAACTTGCAACTTTTTGAGCAAATACTCTATTTAGTTATAGAGGCATTTCTACATACAAGTACATATGTACTTGTAATTATTAAACGGATTCACTAACTTTTTGTCTCCGTACAACTGCTCCTATATCTCTTACTATTGCCCAGCATGTCACAAGAAAATTATTATTTAGAACTAATTGCAACTCACAATTGGAATTAAAATAAATTCATAATTCTAA